CCCCCCTCACACACCCTCCACCACCGCCGCCACCAGGAACATTTCCCGACATCTGACCGTAAAACCTCATTCACGACCGTAGCATGTTGCCATGGAAACCCAGACAACAACATTGTTGCTGCTAGTAGGACCAGTGGCAGACTTTTCAAGTTCGATCAAATCTGACACCTAGCCCAGCCCCGTCATCAAGACATCTGTACAGAGTATACATCCCCCCCCTCACACACACACACACACACACACACACACACACACACACACACACACACACACACACACACACACACACACACTTTTCTCCCTCAAGAGAAACAAACACACCCCACTCCCCGCCCCGAAATTTTTTTAAAAAATCTACGAAAAAAAAACTAACTAAAAAACCCCCACGAAAACCCCCCACCAAGAACAACAAGCCAGCAGACGAAAGGACAGCGGAGCCGCCAGCGAGCGGTCACGTGACGGGGCAGAAGGCAACAGGAAGGCACCAGGGGTGGTCAACAAAGGCGGGGTCAACAGAGTCACGTGACTTGTCCCCTGCCAGGCTCAGGCCGCGTGTCCACTACAACAGAAACGACGCCATAGTTTGTCGGGTGTAGACAATTCACTCTGTTCATGTCCACTATAACAGACAGTTTGTCGGGTGTAGACAATTCGCTCTGTTCGTGTCCACTATAACAGAAAGTTTGTCGTGTGTAGGCAATTCGCTCTGTTCGTGTCCACTACGGGTGTAGGCAATTCGCTCTGTTCATGTCCACTACGGGTGTAGACAATTCGCTCTGTCCGTCTCCACTACGGGTGTAGACAATTCGCTCTGTCCGTCTCCACTACGGGTGTAGGCAATTCGCTCTGTCCGTCTCCACTACGGGGGTAGACAATTCGCTCTGTCTGTCTCCACTACGGGTGTAGGCAAAGGTTAAGGAACGCAGGGCAGGAAATGTCCTCATGTAGCGATCGACGGTCTCATCCCGCGCCATGCAGAGACTGGGGGTGTGGTAGGTTTAAAATTTTCTCATTGGTCAACATAGCTGGCCTATGACTGCCTGTCGTCACACCGTGTGAGTGTGTGTGTGTGTGTGTGTGTGTGTGTGTGTGTGTGTGTGTGTGTGTGTGTGTGTGTGTGTTGAATACTTGATACGGTCAAGGATTGCCATGACTCCACCCGCAGGGAGCCATGAACAAGTTGAGTTTAAAAAACATTTGGTTTGAGGACGTGCAACAAAAGTCTAACCTGACAACCACGTTTTTATTTATGCCGTCTTTTCTAAGAGCACCAGTTATGGATACTTACGTTGTCAGTCAAGCTAAAGACGTATGCGCTACTCTTTTCTGGCAGGCAGATGGTGGTGGGGTCTGGGGCAGCCAGAGTGTAAGCCACAGGGGCCACAAGGAGAAAGAGAGCCAGGAACTGCATGCTGAAAAATACGTGAAGGGGAAAGTTATTTTTTGTCTTTTAATGTAGATACTTTTAGCTCCATTGGTACTGATAATGATATCCTGCCCATATAAGCGCTATTTTTAATAAAATAAAGAGTTACATTCTCAAATAAATTATGTTGCAAAGATTTCTTTCAAATAACATTGTTTTGTTATTCTGTCTAGAGCCAGACAATAAACTACTGGCTAAATTAAAAATACAAAGTTTTATCTGACACTTCGGCTGAGGTCAGAAACCAATAAACGTTATAGCTGCTCTATCAAAATCGGAAGATAATTCGGAGACGTTATCAAGATATTCAAAGAATTGCATTCGGAAAGTCTTGAGATAAAAATGACACTCAAATTCTTTGACGTCAAATTTTTCAAAGCTATGTACTGAGCAGATAGAACTTTGTAACTCTGAAGTAGTGTAAAACACTATCTGTAGTACCTGAGAGAGGGTATCTGGGAGATGTGATTCTGTAGCCTTGTGAATGTACATTTATAGAGGTCCTTCTGGGCGGGGTCACACGCCAAGCACTTGTGATGTCTGTACTCTGGACTTGTTAAAACATGAGGTGATTCTTAACCCTATATTCTGGCACCTCGGGGAAAGGAAATCTGTTTTCAAAACTAGCTAACGTGCCCAATAATAGTGAGTTAAACAACAATGCATTATATTGTGGGGTATGACATCCCTTGTACTTTCTGTCTTTCAGTGGTGCTTTTTTAAATTATACTTTTGACTATTCTTTTGAATTTTTAGGAGATATCTTAACTTAATCCGTACGTCGTGTTTTACTATCGTATCCATACGACGTGGGGAACTCTGAGCCACCACTTTTCCTAAGAGGAAATTTACGCGTTAATCCGATCCGTACGCTTTGCATAGCAGTCTGTCAAAATGATTTTTTTGTTGAGAAATACTGAAAGTTTCAAAGAGATCTTCGAACTAAAAGTATTCTAAAATGTGAAGAATACAACCCAAGGGGTACAAAATGAATCTAGGGGTGTACGGATAGGGTTAATGGGTTAATGAAATATAGATCGCTCCTTTCCTGCCAGGAGAGATAAACTTACTCTTTTTTTATTAAAAATAACGCCAGTTCTAGAACCTAAAGGAAAAACAAACGATCGGCCAAAGCTCTGGGCAAAGGAGTTAAAAACAAAGGTGTATTTAAAAAAAGCTCTGTCTGTAACCTGGGAGAAAGCTTACAACTCACCAGGTGTTGTTTAGATTATAATATGGATAAGAGACCGGTGAGATTTTTTGGATAAGTCTGTGGCTCATGTTTTCCATGGTAGAAATCTATGCACTATGACCTGTTCTTAGATATGATTGTTAAAGGACGAGTCACAATTGTTTGCAATTTATTAAAACTTGCTATATGTTGTTTCTCTCAATGTTCTGTCAAAAATGTTCATAATAATAGGCCAATGTAAAAGGCTAAGCAGTAAAACTTATGTTCTGTTTAAATAATCCTTTCTAATAATCTTTTGTTTGCGCACATTCATGAAATATTAGCTCTTTATTCTACTTGGTTTATTTTAGCTTCACAAATTACTGATACGATTATATAATTATACATATTAAATGAAAACAAAAGGTAATAACTGAAGAGGATTAAATCTGGGAGGAGGGAGATGACCATTGATCGCGATATTGACATTATTAAAACTTGATTCAAACTTGCCTATTGATTTTCTTTATATTTACAACGTTTATGTCCAGGTGGTTGAATGTTATTTGTTCGAAGTTTTATGGACATTATTTGGTATACAACGAGTTATAGTCCATTGACTTTTTTAACACCCTGTATGCACACTACGTACACACACACACACACACACACACACACACACACACACACACACACACACACACACACACACACACACACACACACACATATATATATATATATATATATATATATATATATATGTATATATACACTCTCTCTCTCTCTCTCTCTCCCTCTCTGTCTTTCTCTCTCTCTCACACACACACACACATACAGACACATTATATTTATGACGTATGTATATATGTATAATAGTGTAGGCCTATATTATAAAATATATCATATTATAATATGTATAATATGTATTATACATTTATGTTATTGTATAAATTATAATATCATAGTATATATTACTCTCTCTCTCTCTGTGTTTCTTTCTGCCTCTTTGCCTCTGTCGGTTTCTCCGTCTTTGTCTGTCTGTCTGTCTGTCTGTCTGTTTGTCTGTCCGTCTGTCTGTCTGTCTGTCTGTCTGTCTGTCTATCTGTCTGTCTGTCTGTCTGTCTGTCTGTCTGTCTGTCTGTCTGTCTTTTTGTCTGTCTCCCACCCTCCCCCCCTCTCTCTCTCTCTCTCTCTCTCTCTATCCCTATCTCTGTCTCCCCAAAAGAGCCCCTAGAACTTGCAGGATCAGGCTGTGGTCGTTGCATGCGGTTGTATCAATACACATAATTGAAATTTGGCACGATAGTTTGGCAGTTTCATTTTTTAAAAAATAATTAGCCCCTTGACTGTTACTCGTAAGCAACCCACACGCTAGAAAAATTCTACAGTGGGTAAGACATCACAAGATGATAATCTTTAATCGACGTTTGTTCGCCTTATACGAGAGACAGATCGGTATAACTGTCATCCAAATAATGAGAAACGAGGAAATCGCCCCCTCGCTAAACCAAAACCTGCATAGAGCCATCATTAACTGGGTAAACAACTTCGAAGCACTAAAACTGAACAAGAGTTCTGATTCAATCCTTCGACTCTGCTTCGCCGTTATGTGTAGGAGAAACAACCGACCTCACCCTGCTTTGTCGGTTTTAGAATCCGCGTTTTCCGTCAAAATGTATATAATACGCAAGTTTATAAAATACGTATCTAAAACGACAAGCTTTCAAGAGATGTGACTCTCATTATTCAAAATTTGTAAGTACATGTAGTTGAGATACCAACAGAAAAGTGGGAAATCATGGAATAATATAAATAAAAACTAGCCAAGGATAGGAAAAGGTGGAAGGTGTTTGTTTTGGGTCCTAAACCTTGATGCAGGGTGAGAATGGCAGATGATGATGATAATGATGATGATGATGTTGATGATAGTGATGATGAAGATGGTAGACCCAAAAAAACAACAAACAAACTATCCAAACCCTAAACAAAACACGCATTTTCGCTTTCGTAGAAGACACGTTAACAACCAACTAATCGGCTCTGTGTCGAGATATATGACATTGTCTACGTAAGCTCAATCAAGGGGAGAGCGACTTGATGAAATAATTATGAAACCGAAATGTCCCGATAAAGATTTGCAAAGCATAGCAATTTTTTTAAGGTGTCAGTGGCTCTTTAAAATCATGCTAGTTGCTGACCTTCATGAACCAAAAACTAAAAGGGAAATTGCAACATCGGTAAAACTTGCTAATTCCTTAAAAATGTTATCAGACACTTTATTAATAGCACAGAAAAATTAGCAAGGTTCTTCAGCAACCAGAGTTTAGTTTTTATCTACAGCAACGGGACCTTAGTCTGTATCAGTCTGATCTCAGAGTGCTCCCAAACCTGGATCAGATCTAGCATTCTAAGACTGGATGCTTAATGCGTGTGTCTCTCAACAACCCCCCCCCCTCTCCCCGCAGCTCGCAAACCATACATTTTTACACACAAACACAATCATTGACGTGCAAATGCCTGCCTAACCGCACTCAGGCATAACACACCCACACATAGACAATACAAAAACACATTCAGCTCATACTTTGAATACTCTAACGACCAACTGTTGCCCGAGAGAAGAAAGGATCTTGAACTTTTAATTTATAACTATATTTTAAACCCTATCCGTACGCCCTGGGGTCATTGTGTACCCCCGGGGTTGTATTCTTCACATGTTAGAATACTTGTAGTACGAAGATCTCTTTGAAACTTTCAGTATTTCTCAAAAAATAAATTTGACAGACTGCTATGAAAAGCGTACGGATCGGATTAAAAAGTGAATTTCCTCTTCAGAAAGCGGTGGCACAGAGTTCCCCACGTCGTTTGGATACGATAGTAAAACACGACGTACGGTTAAAAGAGATAGACCACGCTTTTTAATGACTCATGGTCGAGAGTAAACAAGTGGTATTATCACAAATATGAGACAAAAATTCATCCATTTTTTGGTCTAATAAATCTTTCTTTCCTTCTTTTTAAGCGTTTCCCGTTCCCTGCAGGATATTGCCCCCCAACAATGACCTTCATTCTGACGTATCTGCAGTTCTCAGTTCCCAGGATGTTTCACGTCCACTCTGTAATGCCATCTTGCCAAATAAATACCAGGGGGTGGGGGGTGTGTCTCGTGGCCTGGAGATTAAGGTGTTCTCCTCTCATTCAATAGGTCCCAGTTTCGAATTCGGATAGAGACAGAACACTTTCTCCTTTCACATATTTTCCTGGTCTCAAACAATGTTCTGTCGTCTGCTTTCGTCTCCACTTTCTGCCCCACCCCCCCTCCTTTGCCCTTTCCTCTGGGCTCCTGACTCTTTCGGCAGCCTTTCTACTGCTACTCCTAGGCTCCTTCTAACTGCTGTCCTTCAGCCACACCTCTGATCTTAGGGTAGGTAAGACCTAACACCTAACCTTCTCGGATAATTGCAAAAAATCTCGGAGGTCTCATATTGTGCAAGTTGCGCACGTTAAAGATCCCTTAGTTGTCCGATATCGATAAGAGTATAGGCTTCGGTCGCAACCCGTGCAATTCAAAATTAATTCCTACCAAACTTAAAATGTTATATGTGTCCCGCATGTTCATAATATGCAGTTGCGAGTGCTGTAAAACACTTATCATGACTTATTTCTAGCAAATATTAAATGAAATTTGGACAAAAAATATACATACTGTTCAAAATTATCCGTTTTCTTTGGTTATTCGAGGAGCGACTGCAGATTCCACGCAAGGCAAAAGATCGTGCATGTACGAAAATCATGTTGCACGATAAAGTATGTATGATGCAAGATAAATATCTAATTTGCAT